CATTCCTAAATAATTAATGGGTTGAGGAGAAAATCACAGTGCAAGTTTCAAAATTATTTGGACCTGAATATCAATGATTGTACCATATATAAAAAAAATTGCTGGGTGTAGCTAAAGTGGTAAGAAAAGGGAAATTCACAGCCTTCAATGCATGTTAGACAATTTAAAAGATGGAAATTAACAAACTGATGAAACCAGAAGAATTCAGAGTAAATGGAAAAGAAGGGAACAAGGCAGGCTTAAAAAGAATTACTTTTAAATTTTTTCACAAGGATTATTTATTAAGTATGTGATTATGTGATTTCTGTGGAAATCACTGTAGACGATCCCTTTAAAATAAGTATATAAAATTCCAAAATGCTGTTAAGATTTTCATTAGCATACTATCCAAAACTAAACATTTTAAAACAGACTAGCCTTATTTTACATGAGTAGAAGCTGTGAAAAGGGCTCATGTTATTATAGCTGGACCCTGATTGACTGTTCCTAATACTTTTCCTGGCAGTAGGTGGTAAATGAGATAAGAGGCTCAGAGGGCAAAACCCCCAAAATATTAAAAAAAAAATAGAATGTCTTAGAATTCCACTTATTGAAGCTTCTGTTTGATCAGCTAGTTGTTTTCATTAGAATCTCAATTCACACAGATACAGAAATTCTATTTTCTCCAGGACAAACAATGCATATCTTTATAATAACAGTGAAAAACAACCATCAGCTGAGCTTTTCCCTTTTTGAGCTTAGTGGTCTGTAGAATTTTTTCTTTTCCTTCATAGTTTGGTGCTCATCTGACTCAGTAGCTTCTCCAGTTTGATTGCTAGGGAAGCATTACCTTTAATCTTTACCTTTCCTGCAGTGAATGCCATTTCACTAGGTGAAATGAGGCTGGATAGTTTGTGTTACATGTTCTCGTGTTCCCTCCAAAGCCTGAGGAGGTGAACTGTGTAATTGCAAAAGGAGAGCTCTTGTGGCTGACTCAGGGAGCTGGCGACAGTATGCTTTTGCAAGTTTGAACTCTTTCTCCTTCACTCATTAACTCATTTTAAGAGAATTTTGGGAAGAGTTAATATGCATCTTGAGTAAGAGAAAAAAATTGATTTCGTTTGATAGTATCATGAAATGGAGAAACTTTCATTTTTTGGG